TACATGATGCAAATAAAACAAACCTTAAACCTTGAAGCTATATGTAGGAAACCCAGTTAAGAGGTGATCAAGTAATAAAAAGAACATACATAATAAAAACAAAACATTCAGTGAAGAGATTGAACTATTTAAGACAGAGAAGAAGCAAATATCTAGTATGTATGAGGAGAACCTGAATTATGTACCCATCTCTCAAAGGTATATTAAAAAACTGAAATCAAACTTTACCTAAACAGATCATCAGCAAGAGACTCTTCTTTTGCATGTTGCCTTTGTACCTGTCAAAATTAATACATTCAAACATTTGCTTAGTGGTGAATATATAACGAAGTGCTCTACTTAAGCAAGTTAAAATAAAAACAAAAAGGGAACAAATGCTAAATAAGCTGAGGACCATAAAAACAGTTCTAGAACTAAATAAGTAACAGGTGACAATGCTAATGCTTAGAAAATAATTACTGAGACTTCAGATATCAAAATATTTATATAGACGTAAGTGAAACTGTATTGTGACTAGGAGATAAATCTAAACACAAAGTTCATTCATATTTCAACATTCCATATACATCTTATATACACGGCTTGAAGGTGATTTAATAAAATACATTGTTTCATTCATGAAACAAAGTTTTATAGTGTGGAATCTTTGTTGCAAAAAGTTTTAGGATTTGGAGTATTCTAGATCTCATACTAGGGACGCTCTACCTCACAGGCATTTATTTAATGCCTACAAATCTAACAGATTTTGGCATTACTCTCATTCCACAGGAGGAGAAAGCGTAAGGTAAGGCACTTTGCTGAATGTCATGCAAGTATGAAGAACATACTATGTTCTGCAAGTATGAAGAACATAGCTCCTGATGTTGGGACAGAATTTAGGGAACTACAGTGAATGCAGCAGAAAAAGTAGAGGGCAAAGGTATCACAACAGAAATATAGTTATGCCTTAAATCCAGTGACCCAAGAAAATAATAAAAAGATTTAAAACACATAATAGAAAAGTGGAGATGACAAAGAACCACATCTGCAATCGAAATAGCTTATAGGATTTCACGAAAAGTTAGTAAAGATAATCACAATGTGTGACTGAAAGATACCGTGAATGCTTAAAAAAAAAAAGTTTCAGCAAAAGTCACTGCCAAGAATGATGGGGTGTGTTCAAAGCAAGGGGAAGAAGTTTTGCATATTCTGAGGGAGGCTGACTGATGACAATGTCTTTTACTATAGAAAATATTTGAACTTAAACATTTTCTGTGATTTCTGATCAGTGTATCCTCATCTACCTCATTCACTGGACCTGGCACATGCAATGTATGACTCATTGCCAGAAGTCAGAGTGGTCATGAAAGGTAAATGGTTAGAATCATTTTAGATTATTAAGGTAGTCGTGAGAGCACAACTAAGGACATAAAAAAAAGAAAAAGACTTCAGAGTGCTTCAGAGAGAATGAGCCAAGTGCATTCAGAATATTCTGAGGGGAGTTACAGGCCATGTGTTCTTTACTGTAGTAAATGAAAAACATTAAAGTCACCATATTTTTATCACATTTCATATATTTTCACAAAGTAAGTCCTCTAAATATGGGAAAACCGGAACTGTCATAAAGTGAGGCGGGAAAAA